GGTAGCTGCAGCGGGCGACGGTGAGCGGCTGCGAGTGGCGGTGAGCGGTGGGGCTGACTAGTATGCAACAGTGCGTGGAGTATGTGTGTTTCGTGAGATCTGAGTTGGTCTGAGGAGTGGCAAATGGTAGTGGTCGGTGAAGGCGGATGTCGGCGATTGGAGTCGTCGGTTTCTGGCTGCACTCGGGGAGAGAGAAATATGGGGCGTTATTGTAGTGTGTGAATTTTTGTGTATGTGAGAGAGAGAGAGAGAGGGGGTAGGACAAGGTTTAGTGGTGGGCCTATGTTAATATTGGATGTGTATGTAATGACGAATTTGTCCCTGAGTGGTTAAATATGTAGATATGACCTCAATGTGTATACTTATTTAATATATTGTCATTAATGCTTGAATTTTTTTTTATTAAAGTTTGACTTGATTATGGTCATTGATGTGATAAATCCAATAGTCCAAAATCATTCATATTTCTTTTATTGTGTTTCATTCTCATTTGAGCGTACTTTATATATATATATATATATAAAATCATATGAGTAATATGCTTAATATGCTAATTAACAGATTGGGATGGTCAATTGAAGTCCCAAAATTAATAAATAATATAATATGGCCATTAGACATATCCACTTGAAAAAGACCAACGCAAAGTTCAACATTATTGTTTGACTTGTTTTTTTTCTTCACCTCCAACTCAAACCCAACCACATTATAACATTATGCACAGTTCCATGTAACTAAACCTTATGATGGACAACAACAATAGAAGCATTACACATCTGACATTTCAAGATTCAGAGGTGGAGCGCCTGTGAAAGGCTCGGTCCTTTTTAATTATAACAACACGGTCGCTACTACCCAACTCATTAATCTCCTTCATGTCGTGCTTGTTGGTACGCAAACCAAACACGCCCTTAATCCCATTGACCAGCCTCCGGCTGAAGCTCCTCTCGGCAGAAACCAAAGCCCTATCATTCCTCCTTAGTCGAAAGCTGGAGGCACGTCCCTCCAAAGCCTTCCTCATGCCGCCCAGCTCTCTCTCAAGAGACTCGATGCGCGAGCTTGTGGCGCTCACGACAGCCTTCAGGTGGGACACTTGGCGGAGGGCCGCATCCCGTTCAAGGATGGCCCCGAGGGTAATACTGTCTTTTTGCTCCTGGCTGTTTGAGATTATGGCGTCGCGGGTGCTGAGCTGCTGGAGGAACATGGCTTGGACAACAAACCTTAGCGGCATTCTCGGGTTTTGGACAGCGTGCATGAGGAGTGTGGGGGATACGATGGTGCAGTCTATGTGGTTGCACATTTGGGTTTTTTGATCCTCCCGTAGTGATTCCATGTTGGTCTATGAACCATTTTTCAAATGTATATAAGTAGTTTATTTATTATTATATATCTAAAGCATATATAATTTTTTTCAATCTATACTATACGTCATTTTGGATTTTGCTACCTAGAGTATTTTTTTATAGTAAACTGCAACCTGAACTTAATGAATTTTCATAATTTGCATACTCGTTTATATCTTCACCATACATGTGTGTTCTTTTATGTAGATGATCATCGTATGGTCAAAAATTAGGCGAGCGTGCAAATTATGAACGTTCAAGTTGCAATATACAAAAAATAAAAAATAAAAAATAAAAAAAAATTGTATGTTGCAAATTCCAAAAGCACGTACATTGGGACCAATATTTTACCTATATACAATATATCTACCTAGCTTATATTTTCGATGCTTATGAATGTTATAAATGTGGTCTATATAGTCTGATAAAATAGAATTCGAATCGTACCTTGAGGTAAATGTCGACGATTCTATAAACAAGGTCGTGACAGTCGGTCAGACGTTGACTAACTGACGCCAAAATAATTTGAAAATCCCGAATGCTCAAGCCCTTAACGCCGTCCAAGCAGCTCAAATCGGCGCCGTCCGTGAGGCTGAGCGCCTCGAAGCACCTGCTGACGAGCAATGCCTCCGTCTCCACCTCTGGCATGAGAGGTAAGCTCGAGCTGAGCACCACAGAAAGATACTCCTTGTTGATGGTCACTTCACTGCACAAATACTCCTCCGTTATCTCCTGCAATTCAGTCATGCCGAGGAGATGGGCCGCCGTGCGGAGGGCCGCCACGTTGAAGGGGGTAATGGCGATGTGGGCCCCGTAGCAGAACTCCGTCACGGTGGAGAATGTCTGTGCCGTTATGTTTAACGG